ATACGTTTGATTTCTAACTGCCTTTTTGTTTGAGAAGGCCATAATTTTCCATTTGAAAACAAAAATTTTCAAATTTGTTCTCAAAGGCTATGTATGAAATTTGAATAGGTTTTCAAATACATATTTACATAATTTCAAAGGTTTTTGCTTATTGGGTATTATTTTTTTTTCCATTTTTTATATTGATGTACGTATATTAGGGTGACCCGTAGATCACAAAATCTTCGGTGAGAAATTTAAAAAAAAATCAAACAAACAAATAACCTATTTTTTATTTATCTTTTCGTTTATGTTATTTAGTTACATTGTCATAAAACAAGTTCAAATGTTTATGTATATTTAATTCCTCAATTTTTCGAAAAAAAAAATACATTTTTCCCACATAAACTTTGGCGGCGATGAGCGGGCTCTTACTCTAAAAATAATTGAATAATATTTTACATACTTCTATTTGACATTAATATAAAACATATTTTCACTATTACAAGTTGATCTGAAAAATATATTTTCGACCCACCCTAGTGTACATGTATTTGAATTAAACTTTACAGTTACGTGGCACTCATTACGTACGCCATAAAAAGGTTAGAAAATCATTCAATTTGTTTTCAGATTTTAGCATTTTCAGACCAAAGCATTTATTTATCATAAAATACTATTTACTTAACATTACGTAGATACATCGTTATGTACATATAAACACCATTGTAGGGTTATCCCTTAAAAAATAAGATGACAAAAAATTTTCCGAATACATATTGTGTTATTTTTTATTTCTTTTATAAAGAAGTAATATGGAAATTACTGTCTAAAATATGAGATATTTCTTCATCAAACACCACCCTAATAAATATATTTACTACACAGGTGTTTTCTATGTCAGCATCCAAAAAAATTTAAATATTGGAATACTTATGCATAAAAGGTATTCATAAGCACGTATTTACTAAAGAAACTCTCATTCATGTATATACAAGTATATATACACATATAGTTACATTTACACATGTAAATGCATATGTACATACATATGTGTATGTATGTTTGTAAATAAATATGTAATTCGTCCTATTACGTGTTTGTGTAGATGTATCCACTAACACTGAAGCGCGTTGTAAGAACATAAAATTTAATGTTTACTTTATTATTGAACATTATTGAGAAATTTTAATGCTTGTAAAATATGAACCAGAAGTTTATAACTCGATATACACTCCTCGCCATTTGAATAGCACATATATCAATTTTTTTTTTTCAAAGCTTATATTTTTGGATCAGGAATTTCTGGAAACTTGTTTTTCCCCTAATTGTAATATTTTTTGTTCTGAATAAAATGTGATATTATGATGATAAAAATTCGCCACTTAAATAGAACATCCCCCAGAAAAAGTGATTTTATACAACTTTTGCAATTAAAACTTACTGATTTAGTTTATTTACAACGATATAAATTAAACTAAACTATTTTTGTAATGTGTTGAAGATCCTTGGTTGACTAACACTTTACAAATCCTGTTTGGAAGTGATTCATATAGCTTGGCCATGTAATTCAGTTGTACTGAGCTCCAGACTTCTTTAATTGCATAAATTAGTTCAGGAATTGTTGAATACTGTTTTCCAGACTCATAAACTTTTCGGTCAACTTATTCCCACAAGTTTTCTATAATGTTTAAGTCTGGTTGAGGCCAGCTCAACAATTCAACATTTTGGAACTCTATATAAGATTTTACGATCCGGGCAGGGTGGATCGGGGCGTTATCTTGTTGTAGGATCCAAGGGCTAGGTCCATATAGGTCATTGAAAACCGAAAAAAGCCTTTTTTATTAACCCAATGTAGTTCTTAGCATTTATTCTTGAGCTTAAAAACTAAAGCTCGAAGGTGCCATAATAGGAAACTGCTCCCCATACCACGACCATATTTATCTTTAAATTATCTAAAAATCTATAAATGGCCCCAACTGTATTTTTTACTTTTTTATTTGTTAAGTGTTTGTATTTACAAAATATACATTTTAAACCCTACAAAATATTACACGAGAAAAAATCGTAAGTTTTTTTCACGTCATATACGAAATTCTGTTCATTAAAAAAATCCGTAAATTTGTTTTATTAAAAAATTACGGATTATTAAGAAAAATGTGTTCATTAGTATATAAAATTAAAAAGTGGAAGAAAAACCTACACAATTCGCAGATTTTCGTATATTTATAAATGTACATATCTCAAATTAATTTGGAAAACATTGTTTACGAATATAGTACTTTCTAAATGGAACAGAATTAGCCCAATTTTTGCAAAACTGTACCACTCTGAAGTCGTACAAATGTTACATGGAATTGACAATATGCAATTGTAAAATAATTTATCTTCAAGTTCAAAACTACAACACGAAAGAATAAAGACTTAAGAACAATGTCAATGACGATTTTAATTAAAAAAAGGAATAAACTATTAAGAAAGTATAGTCGGACATGAACGGCAGTACTATCATACTATAGCTACGCGTTTATAAAAAATGTTGTTTATTTTATGGCAATTCTCATAGAATTTGGGGGAGTGATTTATGTTTACATACAAGTTATTTATACCGAATTTCATCATGATACTAACGTTTATAAGTGAATTGAAGACCAATATTTTTGCGTTCCACATATCAGAACAAACGCATATCACATATTGTACTGTAAAAACATTTTAAAAGACGAGACATTTTTAAGATTGACTACTTAAATTAGCATAATAGACAACTCAAGAGTAACATTGTGTGTCGTTCTTTTTTGTATAAAAACAGGCATGTGTACTACAAAATTATTACTAAATACAACTTACTATATTCATATGTACTTATGTATGTAGATTAGGGAAATAACCAAATAAAACATATTAAGTGGTATGTTCCCGATCTAGAAAATCTGCAAAAAGTTTTACTGGACTTCATTAGCGTAATTTAGAGAATTTTTATTTTTCCTGGGCAATTTTTATATTTTATGTTTAAAACAAAATTTTCATTTACAACAAGATTTTGATAATTACCCCCATTATCGCAATGTCTGGTTACATTTTTCATACAAAAATTATTTATTTTAACGACACAATATCTAACGGTTAAACGATAATCCGAGCATAGTGGACTATTCTAAGAGGTGGCGGTAAAAAACCATAACTTTTGATTGGAATTTTGAAACCCAGTTTTTTTTTTGTTTGGTAGATAAAAATCGAGCCATTAGAAAAAATGGATGGAGGGTTGAAGTTAACTTTTTTATTATTTTTCAGTATAAAGTTAAGTGTTATATAATAACATGTTATTTTTTGTTTCTTATTCAATGTGTTATTTTTTGCTAGCACCAATAGGTGAAAAGTTACACTCATTTGTCTAAAACACTGTATGACCTAAATGTCCAAATTTGACCTCCTATTACTCCGACAGTTCTTGACCGATAGATCTAAAAATCTGTGTCTGGCCTCATATTCAATAATACTGACCTTGATGCATACATCATCCAAATTGATTTTTTAAGTTGGGTCACTTGACACGAATGTCAAAGTTGTCGGTGCAAAATTTTAGGACTCTAGCTATTGAAGTTTCTGTATTAAAGTATATGGACGTGTCACCTCCCCTTTTTGCCTCATACAACGGGTGTTGTGTACTTCAACCTTTAGCAAATTAACGCCGTTATTAATCTTTTTCTTAATACTAAATTGTACAAAAATTAACTTGCTGAAAGATTCTTTATATAAGGGATAGGGTAAAATCTGGGCTGATCCTCATACAATTCGGAGGAATGATTTATGTTTATATGATAAATTCCATCGTTATATTAATATAATAAAGAGAATTGTGGAATTAAAGTCATTGTTTTGAAAGAGGGTTTGTAAGGGTGTTAGGGTCAAATAAGGTCCGATCAATACAAAATTCGGTATAAATGAGTTTTATATAATCCTTAGTGATACTGCATATTCTTTAAATAATTGGTTACAACCCTAGTACATTACATACGTGTATATCGTCACCTAAAACACAAACGGCCCTAACCAACCAAAAATTCAAAATCGACTTTAGTGTTGATTCTGATGTATTACATCAAAACAAATGTTCACATGGACTCCTCGGACCAAAATTTTCCAATTTAATAACAAACAACAGAAGGAAATATCTACAGAAATATTTAAATATGTATTAAAGGCAAAACAAACCTTTTAATTTAAATATTTTTTTGCTTCTCTTGTAAAATTTCAAAAATGTTAGATAGGGCCGTCTGCGTTTTAGGTGGCGATATATTTATACAAACACATACAAACGTTAATTCTCTATAGAACACGCTATTTTGCACAAATAAATATTATTTAAATAAATAAAATTTTAAAGCCAAAAGAAAAAAATTATATTTATCTCTGATATAAACAAATTCGTTATATATTTATCTTTATAATATTTATAGAGATATGTATCCATATGTATGTAAATAAATGTCTTTAATGTCACTCTTTTTCTTCACTCTCTTCCATATCTAAATAAGTTTTAAGTGTAAATGTATACTAGTGTCCAAGAAATTAGTTTCTTTGGTCAAGTATTATTTTTTTCTTAGAGTCTAACTCTGGTGCAAAATTTTAGTCCAATCTGATAACGGGAGATGCTGGCGAAAATAAATTAAATGTTGTTAAAATGATTAACTGATGTTACTTTTTTATTTCTTTACATTTATACATTTTACATTAAATTTTATAAATTTAAAACAAATCTTATCTTTAGAGCAAAATATTTTTATTTCCAACAAGGCACATAAACAATGAAGTATTAAAAATAAAGTAATTTATCGCAATATATTTTACATTTTTCTCTAATTTTTGGGCGCATCTAATACACACACAATAAATACTAAATTGATTACTTAAAAAAATTACTCTATATAGTTTGAGTTATAGTTAAGTATGAAAAAATTTTGACGAAGAAGAGCAAAATCCATTGTACATTTGTCACTACAATGCGGGTTTAGTAGTTGTTATTATCAATTGAATCATACCGCACTTTTACTTTACTAAAATCTAAAAATAAAAAATCATACAAAACAATAGATTTTGTCGCCGTTGTTATTTACGTTTGTTTAATTTTTATTTTAATAATAATTTACACGTTTCAGCTGTAAGTATAAACATGTACCAACACTTGAAGGTGTAAAGAAAACGGTTGGAAAAATTCTCAAAAAGTGCAAATTTAAGTGACAAAAGGAGATGTGAACTAATGGTGATTATTTTAAAACCAAATAAAAAAATACCAAGCTTGAATCAGTTTACTTCATTAAAAATGCGAATAGATAAAATCACAATCAGTTTAATAGTGAAACATGACAGACATGTTTGAAATTCGATAATAAAAAGTGTTAAGAAATTGAAATCAAATATCATATCTTAATTTGTAACAATAATTAATAAATTATAACTCAGTATAAAACAGAATTAAATCAAATAATAAAATTAACATGTCGATCCATTCATCGCGATCATTAGTCACATCACCTCTTGCGGCAACGGAGCCAATAGAGCAGACTCAGATGTTACGAGAGGGTCTCATATCACCAAAGCCCAAGCAAATAGTTTTTACTACTAAATCAGATCGATCACCAGCACAGAAAACAAAAAACTTTTTACGAAAACGGATCTGTATATTAAATTGGATCGGCAAGTACAATGTAGAATGGGGTATAAATGATGCCATTGCTGGGATTACATTGGGCTTAACAATTATACCCGAAAGTATCGCCTGTGCTCTTCTGGCCGGATTGCCGGCTCGTTATGGTTTATGCTCCGCCTTTATTGGCTGCTTTATTTATTTATTCTTTGGTTCAATTGATAAAGTCATTATTGGACCTACCAGTCTCGTTGCTCTGGTGAGTGTGCAATTCACTGTGGGCAAACCAATAGAATTTGCTTTTATCTTAACATTCTTGAGCGGTATAGTACAATTGATTATGTCAGCACTTCAAATGGGTGAGTATTAGTGTTACTAATCGGAAAGATTTTTTTCGGAAATCCTGGCAAATATTTGTCGGAAAATTTCGGGAATTCCATATAATGATTTTTTCTTTAATTTATTTCAAAATATAAAACAATTTTATTTAAATTAATTGTTTTGCTTAAACTAAAAATGTTGTACTGGTGATAGTTTTACTTAATAGAGATAAAATTTTCGTAAGAAATTTTAAGTATAATTGGACAAAATTGACAGAACTAACAATTAGAACACGAAAAATTAACTATAAGGATGTCGAAATTTATATAACTTATTTCATTGTAGTTGTGTTTATATTCATTGATGTTTCACGGCAATTAAATCAACAAAAATCTACAAGCAATACTTCTGACCATTTTTCTTTATATCTTCTACTAATTTGTAATATGTCTAGGTGGAACCATTCGTCATGTTCATCTGATACTGCACCAATATTTTCAGGAAAAAGTGGTAGTCTTAAATTTTAATTTTTAGTGGCATATTGCATGTAAAATCATGATATGCAGATATAAGCTCTTGAATTTCTTTTTATAGTTTTCAGCTTTTTTTTCCAAAAAATAATGAAATACGTCTACAAATCCCCAACCCTCATTAATATTATTGAACAAATATGTTCTAAGCTTCACAATTATTTTCCAAATGTTATATACATAAAACTGAAAATTTCATATTTCCTGTATGTATGTATATAGTAAACTTTACAACAAAAAATCTATCTTACATCCCTATTACCCAGTTTTTGCTGGGTATATATTAAACTTAAACTTTTATACATAAATAATTACATGTATCTAAAATTCGTGAAAACATGAGTTTTACTTTTTACGTTTACAACAAAAAATCTATCTTACATCGAAAGAAATAGACATATTTGAAATTCGATAAAGCTATATGAAAGTCTTTAATTTCTTTTGTAACCCTCAGTTCAAAAAACCTGAATTGTGGATTATGCCAGTTTTGTAGTAAATGAGCGATTTGATCTTTAAACAAAAATTTAAATCAATTGTTAGTAATTTCAAAGCAGTATCTTGCACGCAAACATACGGATGTTCCATTAGCATTGATTAAATATTTACAAACAATTGACAAGTTGCTAATTTTTTTTCGTATGGAAAAAGGTGTTTATTATGTAAATAAATAATTTACTATAAATTCATATACTAGAATTGAGTTGGAATTGTAACATGAACTTGTCGTCCAAATAATATGGAATTAAAGCGTTAACTCATGTGACAAGATGTATGCTCCATAAAATTAGTTTAATTAATAATAAAACTGATATTTATAAGTATGTACGAGTTTAGATAATCATTTGCGAAAGGTTATAATATGAGGGGCGTTGAATGGATAACGTTATACCTTAAAACCATAAATATTTTGGTACAAATGTAGACCACCTGCCATAGTTAGAAGCTAGAGAATCTTCTCAAATTAATATTTAAACATTATTTTACAATTACTTGCAAATATGTATAGTTTTTTTCATTTGTATTTAAAATTAACTTGTGTGTGTCGTACATATGTAGCTAGACTATCTCAGAAAGGGCTAAGAATATATAACAAATGACATTTTCTTATTTATTAATTTAAAAATAAACAGTAAAAATATATAAAGTAAAATTTTTTTAAATTTTGGTAATGACCAGTAGTTATTTCATACATTACTTCATAGCAAGTGCTCCTTATCACCAGACACAGACAACTTTTAACTGGCAACAACAATTTATTTGAAAGTATGTATGTATATTAGAGGTGCCCAAAAATATCGGAATTCTTCATTAAAATTATATATTTTTGACCAAATCTTATATTCTAGAGAATTTGATCTTTGATCTTTATTTATGTGATATTGTCCGACTCTGCCAACAAAATCTATAAACTGTAGAAATGTTTACAATATTTAGTAAGGCTTGAAATTTGTAACCGAATTTGAAACTAGTTCCGGTAATCCGAACACTTGAATATTGAATGACAATGCGAATTATATTCGAAAACATTGACTGGAAATTTGTTAAATCAAAAAAGAAAATTAAAATTCGTTCTTATGTTCGATTAATTTGAAAACATTTAAAGTAATTTCCAAAATATGGGTAATTTTCAATGTTTTAAATAAACTTTTAGTATTATAATTTTTGATGTTAAAGATTGTATTTGTATGTATATTTTTATATTTGATTTTCTCCAGGTTTTATTTTTGAATTTATTTCGACACCAGTTATTAAGGCATTTTCTTCTGCAACTGCTATTTTGGTGATTGAATCTCAGATAAAAGTGCTTTTGGGCATTAAGTACTTAGTGGCTGGTTTCATAGAATCAGTTAAAACACTCTCGATGAGATACCAAGAAGCAAATGTTGGAGATTTGGTGATGGGTATTACTGCTATAGTGTTTCTGATTGGATTTGACGTGAGTAAATGAGTCAAAAATTGTCAAATATAGGAAGATTTAACAAAGTCGTATTCTCAGTTTTTAGAAAAAATAAGTTACAATTCGAAAGTCAGTAAATTGGGGCGCATTTGTTGTCGTTATTTATCATTTTCACGCAACACATTAATCGTATTGATTACAGCGATAGCATCTTACATATGGATACAAGTGGATTCCCATGTGCCATATGCTTTAAGTAAGAATGCCCTTTCTGGTTTGCCTAATTTTACGATCCCAGATTTTGTCATTGAGTCCCCAGAAAAGACATATAACTTCTGGGACATATTGTCGGAACTAAATGTAGGTATAATCGTCATACCAATTATTGGCGTTTTGACCAATATTTCTATAGGAAAATTAAGTGAGTACAATCTAAATAATCTCATTGTTAATATTTAAATTAACAAAATAAACTAATATTAATATTTTTTAGCTCCTAAGGGTATGGTGAATACTAATCAAGAATTAGTCACATTGGGTTTATGTAATATATTTGGCTCCTGTGTCCAGGCTATGCCGTCTTCTGGTGCCTTTACTCGATATGCCATCAGTACGGCATGCGGCCTTAAAACTCCAATGGCCAACTTATATTCAGGTAATTTGACATGCATTCATACATCGGGAATCAATTGAGTATTTAACATCTGATTGTATTTTTAGGCATTGTTGTTTTGCTGGCTCTTAGCTATTTAAGTCCATATTTCAATTACATACCTGAAGCAACATTGGCGGCCGTATTGATTTGCTCTTTATTTACTTTGCTTGATTTTAAGTTACCTCTGCGTTTGTGGCATGAATCGAAGCGAGATTTTAGTGTATGGGTAGTGTGTTTCATCGTTTGTGTATTATGTGGTGTGGAAGTCGGTCTATTTGTTAGCATCATTATCAACGTTCTACATTTGTTATTTTTATGGGCTCGTCCTGAAATTGCTGTCAAAATCAAAGAGGTACGTTTCTTGAAATTATTAAAGTTTTAACATTTGTTACAGTTAAGCTTTTTCTTTGTTTTCTATGCTCCTATATTCCTTCAATTTATTTATTTTTCATTGTAGATTGACGATATGCAGTACATATGTGTTACTCCTGGAAATGGCATTTATTTCCCTGCTATCAATCATTTGCGTGCTAAAGTCCTCAAGGCCGCCGCACAAGCTGAATTCAAAATACCCGTAGTAATCGACTGTCATAAAGTCACAGGTTTAGATTTTACTGCAGCTCAAGGTTTTGTTAAGCTAGCTAGTGGGCTCCGGTCAGATACAGATGAAGATCATGGCACACCAGAAGGTGGCAGCAGTGGAGGTGAGGCTTTACTAATATTATATCGAATGGAAGTATCTTTGCAAAGGCTGATTGACAATGTAGATAATTTGGTGTATTGTGAGACGGAAGAAAAGATTCGTGAATTCCTAACCCAAGAATCTTTACGCAATGGCTTTATCAATCTCAAGGAGCATATAAGGGCCTCCATTGACTTGGGATATAAAATCGATGTTGAATAATCACTCTAGAAAGCCGAAAACAAAATTAACAGAAATTCCTAAATTATTTAAATGTATCAAATAAAAGTGTTTTTTAATATTTAAAAAAAGGTACTTTAGTCCTTAAGCTGATTCGCAATAGACACAAATGCTAATGGCATACAATTATAAAACGACGACTCTACAACACCACACAACTCAAATTTCTAAATCCCCACTTTAGTTGGACATAGTAGACCACCTTCTGACTCCTCTTTATTTCAATCTCTAAATTCCCGCTCTACCTTTAAGCGTCGCAATCATCGCATTAATTTTGTGTCAGTGTTTTAGAGTGTTAGATGCATAAAGAATGATGAATAAAAAAATAAATAACAAGTAGAAGAAGAGGAGAAGAAACAACATAAAAAACGGACAATAATTGCTGAGTTAATGGATTCTGTTTACTTTTTCACTTAACTGTGCAAAATGTGGCACCCAACATCAGCTACAACAAAGTGAAGTAAATTCTGTCTGTCGGTCGTCATCGTTGAACTTTTTAAACAGAATGAAAAAACAACACAAACAAAAATGCGAAAAAAGTAGAAAGCAAAGACGAATGCAGAACACTGACAAAACGTAATTAAGTCTTACTGAGTGAATGAATGTTAAAGTAGAATATAAAAAGTGGAATCTTTGCTTCACACTAATTTTTCATTAAATGTTCAATTGATTTCCGGTCGATAGCTTTTAAGGAATCAATGGAGGAATTATTTAATTGTATAATGACTAACAAACTAAACTAACTAACTAACTAACTAACTAAACGAAAGAAAGAAAGAAAAAAAAGAAAGAACGAACGAACGAACGAACGAACGAACGAACGAACGAACGAACGAACAACGAACGAACGAACGAACGAACGAACGAAACGAACGAACGAACGAACGAACGAACGAACGAACTAACGAACGAACGAACGAACGAACGAACGAACGAACGAACGAACGAACGAACGAACGAACGAACGAACGAACGAACGAACGAACGAAACGAACGAACGAACGAACTAACGAACGAACGAACGAACGAACGAACGAACGAACGAACGAACGAACGAACGAACGAACGAACGAACGAACGAACGAACGAAGAACGAACGAACGAACGAACGAACGAACGAACGAACGAACGAACGAACGAACGAACGAACGAACGATACGAACGAACGAACGAACGAACGAACGAACGAACGAACGAACGAACGAAGAACGAAACGAACGAACGAACGAACGAACGAACGAACGAACGAACGAACGAACGAACGAACGAACGAACGAACGAACGAACGAACGAACGAACGAACGAACGAACGAACGAACGAACGAACGAACGAACGAACGAACGAACGAACGAAGAACGAACGAACGAACGAACAAACGAACGAACGAACGAACGAACGAACGAACGAACGAAACGAACGAACGAACGAACGAACGAACGAACGAACACGAACAACGAACGAACGAACGAACGAACTAACTAACTAACGAACGAACTAAGAACTAACTAACTAACTAACTAACGAACTAACTAACTAACTAACTAACTAACTAACTAACGAACTAACTAACTAACTAACTAACTAACTAACTAACTAACTAACTAACTAACTAACTAACTAACTAACTAAAAACTAACTAACTAACTAACTAACTAACTAACTAACTAACTACTAACTAACAACTAACTAACTAACTAACTAACTACTAACTAACTAACTAACTAACTAACTAACTAACTAACTACTAACTAACTAACTAACTAACTAACTAACTAACTAACTAACTAACTACTAACGAACTAACTAACTAACTAACACTAACTAACTAACTAACTAACTAACTAACTAACTAACTAACTAACTAACTAACTAACTAACTAACTAACTAACTAACTACTAACTAACTAACTAACTAACTAACTAACTAACTAACTAACTAAAATTGAAATTGAAAAAAAAAACTTATTTTATGATCACCCATACTTTCTTTCACAAATCGATTTTTTGGTCGAAAACCTAAAATCGCTTATAACTTTGTTAAAACACGTTTAAATAGAAAAATAACCTTATTTTGTGATCACTGATATTTTCCTTCAAAAATCGATTTTTGGTCGAAACCTAAAATCGCTTATAACTTCGTCAAAACACGTTGAAATTGAAAAATAAGCTTATTTTATGGTCACCCATATTTCCCTTCGCTCATAACTTCGTTAAACAATTTTAAATTGAAATAATAAGCTTATTTTGTGATCAACCATATTTGCATTTAAAATTTTTTGGTCGAAAACATTAAATCAGTTATAACTTCGTTAAAACACTTTTAAATTGAAAAATAACCTTATTTTGTGATCACACATATTTTCTTCAAACATCTTTTTTTTTTTTTGGTCGAAATCTAAAATCGCTTATAACTTTGTATAAAAATTGAAAAATAAGCTTATTTTGTGATCATCCATATTTTCCTTCAGAAATACATTTTTTTGGTCGAAAACATAAAATCACATATAACTTCGTTAAAAAACGTTTACATTGGAAAATAAGCTTATTTGGTGATCACCCATATTTTCCCTCAAAGTTAATTTTTTGGTCGAAATCTTAAATCGCTTATAACTTCGTTGAAACAAGTTTAAATTGAAAAATAACCTTATTTTGTAGTCACCCATATTTTCCTTCAAAAATTGATTTTTTTGGTCGAAAACATAAAATTACATATAACTTCGTTAAAAAAACGTTTAAATTGAAAAATAAAATATTGTGATCACCCATATTTTCCCTCGAAAGTTAATTTTTTTAGTCGAAATCTTAAATCGCTTATAACTTTGTTAAAACACGTTTAAATTGATAAATAAGCTTATTTTGTGATCATCAACAAGTAAGAGTTGCATATTCGACTGTGCCGAATCTTATATGTATACCCTTCACCATGATGTGTTAAAAAAAGCAGTCAGTACGAATTTTATTACAACAACTCAAAAAGTGTGTACCTGTGTGCATAAAAGCCAAAGAGTACCAATCATAGAACGAAATAATACCAAAAATCCTTTCCTTCATATTTTCAATAACTTAGGACTCTTAATGTTTAATTTTATGTTTCTAGGTTCATGGAGAAGGAAAAAGTACTAAAAGGTCCAGTTTTATATGTTCTCGCTAACATAATTTCCAAAGTACCAAAACGTCAATTTTTATAGGTTTTAACATGCAACATGAAATTATGTTTCTAGGTTCAATATTATAGAAAATTTAAAAAGTACCATTTGTACAGAGAAAAATTACCAAAATTTCCCTTTTATAGATTCTCACATATATTCTAGACTTTACATACCTAATTTTATGTTTCTGAGTTCAATATTATAGAAAATAAAAGAGTAGTTTCTGGAGAACGAAAAGTACAAAAAAATCCCCTTTTATGTGTTCTCACTTAATCCGGGCTCTGCATTCTTAATTTCATGTTTCTAGCCAATAACAACACACTGCTCATTCGTAATTGTTGTTCTTTCTTTGCTTTGTTTTTATAAACAAGCAAGTACAATAACAAAATTTACCGTATGGTTATGTGTTTTGTTGTTGCTTGTTTATTATTCTGTCTGAGCATGAACGAAAAATCTAAACTTTTGATGACATTTTCAGAAGTAGTCTCACATATTTGCTCATATCTTCCCTAATTATAGACCGAATTTTAGAAAGATTCGGATAATAATAATATTAAGTAACGGGTACAAAATAATATAGTGTAAAAACATCGTAAGAATATTTTTTCCTTTTGCATGAAATAACCAAGAAAAATGGTTTCTTAATTTTTCATAACTGAATGATAGGCAATTTAAAAAAATAGCAGCATTTGTCCGTAACTTAATTGATTATGAATACTCATTGTTAAATGTAAAATGGGAATTATCTTCCAACTGAACGTTTTCTTAATTATGACCATTTTAATAACGGGGAAACTAAGTTACACCGCTATCAAACCAGAGATGGCATTTGGCATATTATTTTAACTTAAAATTCCATTAACTTAAATCTTTAGAAAAAAGATTGTTTGAGACATCTTCACTCTGTAAATAAAAACATGATTATATTAATCATTTCTACAATTGAAGCGGTAATTTCGAAAAGGACACGAGACACAACATTGTCTTTATAACTCCAAAAATTTGATATCAAAATATCTGCATGATTACTTTTTTTAATAAAAATAAATATTACAAATATATTTTATATTATATTACTTTATGTACAGTTTTACGTATTTACTTTTCCAATCTTGGTCCATACATAGACAAAACTATTAAAGATTCCGTCTTGTAACTTCTGTTGAACATTATTATGCTCATTAATTTAAACAAATTGTTAATTATTTCTCATGACTTAACGTATTTAGTTGGTGTTGTTGTATCTATAATTGTTTCATTTGTTTGCTGCTGTAGTTGTTGTATCTTTTGCTACTGCGGCCGACATCATTTAAATTTATGGGTTTTGCTTAAGAACATTTTCAATAAAAATAGAATGGTCGACAAAACTGCCGACACTTTTTCTCTCTTATTGGCATTTAATTAAGTACATTAAGTTGACATTTTACAGTTTAAATAACGCCGTAGCTTTGTGGTTAAAACAAAAAAACAAAATTTTTAGGAAACTTACTATTAGATATGCTTCTTACTCGTACTTAACATGGTTGAATGGTGTTTAAAAAACGTTGAAGGGAAATTCTATAGAGTTTGTGATGTTAATAATGATAGTGTGATTATGTCTTTAACTATAAGTTTGGCCAATGGAAAATTGACATTTATTTTAAAATGTAATGAACATAAAGTAAACTTGTGTGGGAACAAGAAAATTCTAAACAGGCTTTTTTCTAGAACATAATTAGCACAATGGGTGTCTCTTAAATTATGCGTAAAGTATTACCAATGTTAGATAATAAAATATTTAAATTTATATACCCACCATAAAAAATGAAGGAATATTGATTTCGTCATTTCTTTTGTAATATATCGAAATAGTGGCCGTAGACCCTCAAAAGTATATGTATATATTCTGGGTCTTTATTAAATTTTAAGATGATCGGACATG